TTTCTCCACCTTGGAAATTTAAAATTGTGTGCCCTTCCCCCCCCGTAATCCCCAAACAAGCAGGGCGGATTGGGGAATTCTGGGAGCTGAAGTCCACACATCTTAAAGTTACCAAGGTTGAGAAACACTGTACTATGGTGATGTCCAAAATCACTTCTGCAAGGTAGCAATATCCAAATTGACTCAGCTTTCTGTTCAGCAATTAAATGTTATTTGTTCTCCTCTGTTTGGTTAGATTATCCTCTCCCTCTCTCCCAAAGAAGGAATAGGAATATAAAGCATATTTATTTATTTTTCTTTCCAAAACGTTTTAAATGAGAAAAGGCATTTAAAGAGTTTTCCCCCCTAGTTTTTGAAAGCTGTTTGTTGATTACAAGATTAATAGGCCACCCCAATCCATACAGACTCTGGGCAGTGAACTACCATACCATAGTATAAAACAGTCCATCATCATCACCATCATCATCATCATCATCCCCCCCATCATCCTATGATGGCTACCCAATATACTGTAGATATGGTAGATAACCTTGGGGAAGGAATGCAGAGATTGTCAGGGAAGCACCAAGCGCAGAAGAAATACATGTTAAGTCCAGAGAGGTGGGAAAGTGTCAGATTGAGACTCAGATTGCCCCCCAACCCCTGACTCCCTGCAGTTCAGGAAAGAAGGGGAGACATGGGCAGACTTTCAAGGTTCTGTTATTGTAGCCTATCTCAGTCAAGTAGAGTTCTAGTCCTCCTGTGGAGTCTGTTTCTGGTCTACCTTGAAGGGCTGACACCCAAAGAGGACATAGGGCTGAAACCCTGCTGGAATAGTACAGCTTTAAGTTGCTTCTGAAAAGCAAGCAAGGAGGTCTTCCATACTTCCATGAAAAGATGTTCGATAAAGTGGGAGCCACCTGCAGGAACATCTGTTGTCTGTCCATATCCCCTGTACTTTGTGAGGGTGGGGGACCCTCAAGAGATCCTCTCTAGATGATTGTACTAGATGGGCAGGCTGTGTTTCACCAGAGTATTGCTTGATATAACCCAGTCCTACGCCATGGTTTCTGCCCTGTCATTACAAGCTGGCAGAGTTGGCATGCTCAGGGTTCCTTCAATTAAACAATGCCATCTGTTGGGACCCAGGCACTGTACCTTCTCCAACACAGCACCTGCCCTCTGGAGTGAGATCTCTCCTGAGATCTATGTGGCTCCCATCTTGATGGCATTCTGGAGGGCCTTGAAGATTTGGCCGTGCTCCCAGGCCTTGGGGAAGGGTGGGCAGGGCCCCTCGTTGGATAAGTTTTTGGACATGTCCTGCACTGAGTGATCCAATGCCCTATTGGTTATTTATATTGTATTGTGTTTTTAATTTGTTTTTTGTTTGACCTTGCCCAGAGTTGTTTTGGAATCAGGCAAAATAAATAAATGGCTTTAATGAGCTGCACTTTGAATCAGGCCTGAAAGCCAACTGGTTCCAAACTGGAGTCATTCTACACTGACGGGGTATTCATTCATTCATTCATTCATTCATTCATTCATTCATTCATTCATTCATTCATTCATTCAAACAATTTACATAGCCACCTAGGGCATGACAGTGACTCGGGGCAGGGGACAGAAGATTAAAACAGCAAAGCATAATACAAATCATTATTGTCATCATCACCACCATAACATATGCCTGGGCCAACATTTCATATGCAATCCATACAGACCCAAACAAACGAAGCCCTTGTATTTTGCCCCACTGCAGGTTCCAGTCTGTTTCCAAAGGCAGTTCTACACAGGGCATGTTACAGCAGTCTAAACAGCTGGAAATGGCTTATTTTTAAAATGTTGCCTCATTTTTACCGGCCCTCTTTATGTGATTGCCCTTCTCAAATTAAATGACCTCCTGATGAAATGATACTGTATGTTCACACCATCCAGGTTCACATACAGTAACAGGTTATATTATGGTTGGGTAGTTTGTAGTTGGTGTGTAAGGTGATTCCAGGCAATTGGGTTGGGTGTAGTCAACAGTGGTCCAGTTAAATGTGGGACAGTGTGTTATGCCACAAGAAATTGTTTAGGCATCAGCCATTCTGAATTGCCCCAAATTCAGGAAACACCTTAGGACAAGACTAATGGAGCTTATGGAAGCCTCTTGGATGCTTTCGCCCATTAAAGAAGCCCACTTTACTTCTGAAAAATATCCAAAATAATGCTGCCACGTTTGAGGAGGATAAAATGGCCTAAAAATTGCCACAGTCAATTTGGCGTGGTCTCACCATGTGTGTGTGGATAGATCTATCTGAAGATAGATAGACTCATCATGCTGTTCCCCTTTGGGGCAAGCAATATTATGCAGAGCAAAGAGTAAGAAACGGGAAACCGAAGACATTCAAAGCCTGAGATAAGAAAAGGAAAAATAGCTATGTGCAGTTGACGCCAGTGCTATTCACTTTGTCTCTCCATACCTTTTAATCCTTCGTGCATTTCCTTTCATTCCTTAGACTTCTCGCCTCTCTCTTTCTGAGAATCTCCTCAACACTTAAACATGCTCTAGAAACAAAAGCTTTGACTTATAAGAAACTTTGAAGCTTTTGTACAAAAAAAGCAGAGAAGTAACCACCACCCACCTCCGTTGCATTTGATTGTGACTCTCGTAATTCCCACCAGAATGCTACTGGCACGTTAGCTGGGAATTAATGGATGCCATAATCTAAGATGCCTGGGGGTCACCAGGCTGGGGACACTGGTGGAAGCAGTAAATCCCAGAATGACACTTTGGACAAAATTTGAAGAGGATGGGTGTATTTCATTTTTGGTGGATTTATTTATTAAATGTATATATCTCCTGACTTCCAATGACTGTGGGCAGTTTACAGTAAAAAATAATAATAAGAATAAGAAAAACAATTTAAAAAAATAGAGTAATAGACAAGAATAAAGTATGGCAAAAATAACAAAAACCAGGAAGGAACAGAAAAGAAATGGACCCACACAACCCAAAGTGGGCTTCAATCACCTTCATGAAACCCCTGAGCGAACAGCCAAGTCTTTAGCGTGTTGTGTGATCTCAGCCTGTGTAAACATTGGTTTATGGTTTGCACAATGTGCAAACCCAGCTAATTGTGGCTTATTTAATAAACAATGGTTGAATGAACCATGGCTTAGTGCAATGAGTGAACCCACCGATTATCTCCACAGGTGGCCATCCCTAATTTGTTGATGAAATGGGCATCATGACGTCCTCCTTTCCACCGTCCTGGAGACGCTTAGTCAAATTTCTCAGACAAATCTAAACCTCGGGATCGTTACGAGGATGAAATGAGGGAGAAGGAACAATTATGTCCATTAATGTTCTCTCCTTAGAGGAGGTGGGACATAACTCTAAGAAAGAAAGAAGTTTTTATTTTGGGGAAAGAAAAGGTGGATAGGCAGAGATTCCGGAAGCAGAAAGAGATCTGGGGAAGATGATTGTGTTTACTATTCAAGTTTTGATTTCCTTTTTTTCCCCCTCCTGAAGCAGACAACAAAATCTCCAACAGCCCTGTAAAAGTGGTGGAAGGCAAAGGCAGTGGATTGATGAAAGCAGGTAGGTCTGGTCCTGCTGTCTTTGCTCAGACCTGGGGACTTCCTCATGGCCCATGGCCCACGCGTGCCCCGGGTGTCCCAGGCTGCCCATAACCGCATGCCGCTTGTCTGCTTTCACCAAGAAGGAACTGGGGAATCTCCGCCCCAAGTCATAGTTCATTCCTTGCAAAGCCAGAGGAGAGCCTCACCCCTGCTGCGTTATGCTGCCTGGTGCTCGCTTCTGTCTGTCTTTATCTCTGTCTGTAGCGAGAGAGAGAGAGAGAGAGAGAGAGAAATAGAGGTGGATAGATATGGATGGGTGGATGGATGGATGGATGGATGGATGGATGGATGGATGGATGATAGAAAGAGAGAGGTAGACAGGGATGGATGGATGGATAAATGATTGATAGACTGATAGAGATAAAGATAGGTATAGATAGATACACAGATAGACAGACAGACAGTCAGACAGCTAGTTTTACAGAACTGCTTGCCATAATTGGACTTTGTGACACAGTTCTGCTATCAGGGTTCAGTACTAGGCCTTTAAAGTGAAATATACATGAAAATATTTCTGACCCTTCATCACTGGGTAACTGTAAAGAGCTTTCACACACCAGGAATTAAAACAGAGGATGGAATTTCTAGACCATTTGGAACACTGTTCTCATCTTTTTCTTTCTTCCATCCCCATTTTTAAAAGAAGCTAAGGAGCCCTAGATGAATTGCAGTGGAAAAGGATAGGTTTACATTTCTTAAGTTTAACCGCTGAAAGTAATTGGAAATTTTAAATGTTATTTATTTATTATTGCTGAGCCATGGAACCTTCTTGGAAGTTAGATGAGAAAGCGATTTGCTTTCTTATCGAATTGCAAAATCTAATGGGAAGCTTTAGATGAACAGATTTTCCTGATAGAGAAACTACAATAATTGAAAGGTTGAAATGGAATAGATATTCATTACATTACTCAAACTGCAGATTCTAGCTGGTGAACTATAGCTAAATAGATATGTTTTTTTTTTTAAATCACAGAACCTAATTGGAAAGTTTAAACAAGTAAGGACTGACCTATTGTTAATTGAAATTTATTAAGGCAAAATGAGATTCTATCCTCTAATTTAGGCTAGTGGAGTCATATAAAAAAAATGAGTTACTGGAATATGGAGATGATGGAATATAGACATTTCTATTCCAACCTGCCTCTTTTTTGTAAAGCTAACCCATTAAAGAAGGAACTCCTTAAATGTAAATAACCAGTACAATATTCTCCATTGCTATGAAAAACGTATCCCAGAAGAGGATGATTTTTCATGGAGATGAACATTCAGACATGCCGCATGGTCCATGTTGATGCAGTTCTTCCTGCCACTCCAGGGCGGTATCACCTCTTTCCCAGGTCATCATGCTGCAAATGGGGACATGTTCTGTCACAAAATCACAGAACTTTAGAGCTGGAAGGGAGGGACCACAAGGAAGTCCATCCTTCTGCAGTGTGCAGGAAAATCCGTTAAATCGTCCACGATTGATAGCTCTCCAGCCTTTTACAGAAATGGAGAGCCCACAGATGCCAGAGATGGGGAGGTCCATAGATAGACTTCTTCTGTTGTCTAGATGTTGTTGTCAGGGAGTTTTTCCATATCAGGGCCTGTTTTTTTTTTTTAAAAAAGGACCTATTAGAATGGTAGGTGAATCTATTAGTGACCATTTGATAGGATAGCTAGCAGGGCCTTCCTGGGGACAGGGCTCCTCTTCATGGTCAAGCTGAAGAGCAAACAGTCCTTGAGATAGCAGAAAACTATAACGGCATCAAAGTTGCCGCCTTGGTAGCAATCCCTGTCCTGATTCTGGGAAATGGTGCTGTCCTTATTTACAATGTGTGGTTCACATTAAGAACAGGGATTGGTGGATTTCCAAGTTTTGTTTCTCTTCCGGCCTACCAAACATCACCAGCTAGCGGGGAGACATATACCTCTCACTCTGCTTAACATGTGTTGGGGTAGAGGGAGGCAAGTTTTGACAGAGGGTTAGAACAGCAGATTCCCTTTGAAAGCACTTGTATAAAGCAGGGTTCCTCAACTTCAGCAACTTTAAGATGGGTGGACTTCAACTCCCAGAATTCCCCAGCCAGCATGGGTGGCTGGGGAATTTTGGGAGTTGAAGTCCATTTATCTTAAAGTTGCCGAGATTGAGGAACCCTGGTATAAAACACTTGCACCAAACCAAAGCTGACCACTGGACTCCTTTTGCATATGGGTTTAGTGCTATTCCAGAACAGGATTAAACCTGTGTTCAAAAGCAGCCTAAAACAGCCCAAATTGGCAGCCATTGGGAGAATTGCACTGTGAGGCAGCCAAGAGAGAGCAGGCTTTTTTCCTGCTTCAGGTATGGGCCACTATTCAGATTGATCCAGGCCTCTGAGTCAGGAATCAGCTCAAAGATCTGGTGGGTGCTGGGGGAGAGGCTAGTTTAAAAGAATCAGACTCTGAAAAGAGAGCAGCCCTGGAGGACAGTCTTCAATCCCCAAAGAGAGGGGAAGGAACCAGCATCAGCCTAAAATGACCAGTAGGTGATTGGCTGATTCCATTCGTAGGGGACACCTGACTGCAACACTGATCAAATGCATCAGATGGTATCCAGGGCCAAACCGTCGAATCTGTTGCATGTTTAAAGGGATTTTAACCCCAGAACAATAAAGACTACTTTAAGCTGTTTCAGGGATGGGCTGGGGTTGAGATGAAGGCAGCGTTCTCAGGACATGGCAGAAACAAGATGTTGCACTGCCGTGATTAAGTGCGAATGGGGAAAGACCCTAGCTACTAGGTTCCTGCAGCCTTTCCATCTACACTATCTGAGGTCTCCACACAGCTTGGTAGAGTAGCTGGCCAGCTCTTTGGGACAATTCCCCTGCCATTCTGAGATGAGTCACAGGAACAGAGAGAATTGTGAGCCAAGCAAAAGGTCCAGAGTTACCACAAAAATGTCCACTTCTGCGTATTTGAATCTACATGGGGAGAAAGGAAATTATATGGAAACCTTTGCCTGGATCTGGGCTTTGCTGAAAACTAGAATTAATAGAACCTGTTATTTATATGCTAAGCCATCATGTGGCTCATTTAGTTTTCATGTTGCTTGTTGGTGAACCTCACCATTGTCATTTTATGATGACAATTTTATTATTATTAATATAGCTGTCCACTCCAGTGGCCTCTGGGCATGATTTATGTTTTGCTGTGTTGCACAAACCCAGCCAATGGTGATTTATGTAACAAACCATGGTTAACTATTTTTTCCCAGTTCATATATCCTCCCTTCAGCTGTCTCTCTCCACTCTCCCAGGGATTCAGTAACAGTCCCCTGGTAATCTTTTTTATGCGGGAAAAACTGCTTTGTCACTAAGTTGCCATAAAGTTCCACAAAGTTCTTAGTCCCTAAATCTTCCGACAGTCAATTTCTGTCCCATCAGTCCAACTGAATGATGTGTCCCTTTTGTGTCAGATTTATAGAGAGACATGAGCCCAGTTTATTTAAGTCTTCCATCTGGGCTGAGATGAGGCTGAAGCAACTACTCCACCTCCTTTCAACTATTTTTTCCTTATCCTGGTGCACTGCCTTGACTTTGTGCCTGGTTCTAAATGTCTCCATATACTCAGCTGCCGGCTGTCTCAGTAGGAATTAAGAAGCTGGCCTAGATAGGCTTGTTTATTTAATTATTTATTTATCCGATTTGATTTCTATAGCTGCCCATCTCAACAAGTGACTCTGGGTGGTGTACAATCATAAAAACATAAAACAATTAAAACAATACAAATAAATATATATGGTCACTGAGTAAAACTATTGGCATAGATGTTCATATAGCCAAGAAATTGGGCCCTTAACACTCGAGGTCCCAGGCCTGGGCACATAACCAGGTCTTCATGGCCTTATGAAAGGCCATCCTAATCTCTGGAGGGAGGACGTTCCAGAGGGCAGCGGCTACAGCAGAGAAGGCACATCTCCTGGTCCCTGCCAGCCGACATTCCTTGGCTGATGGGGCCCGCAACATGCCTAACTTGCTGGACCGAATTAGATGGATAGAAACAACTGGGAGAAGACAGTCCCTCAGGTAACCCAGTCCCAAGGCATGAAGGGCTTTAAAGGTGATGACCAGCACCTTGAATGGCACCCAGAAGCCCAGTGGCAACCAGTGCAGCTCACGAAGCACTGGTGTTACATGTGTTGAATATCCAACACCATCTACTACCCGCACAGCTGCATTTTGCACCATTTGAAGCTTCCGAATGCTCTTCAAGGGCAGCCCCATGTAGAGCACGTTGCAGTAATCCAGACAAGACTCATCTG